TTTATTTATTTATTTATTCTTAAATTCATAATCAAAACCCACATTTCCAGAGAGAGAAAAAATCACAATCTTAATGCAGATTTGAAAGTAGTCCAGACAGAGAGAGAAAAAGAAAACACATTCTCCAACCGATTAGCATTGCCCTTCGAAGTGAAGACAGAGATAGCTAAACATTTTCACATCTTCTCTCTCTCTCTCTCTCTCTCTCTCTAAAGCCCTGTGTTTCTCTCACTATATATACTTACATATCTATATATATATAGAAACGTACATATCGGAGATTCGATACCCTAGAGGTTTAGGTTAGGTATTTGATGTGAGATAGTGGTAGATCCGAGATGGCGGAGGTTTCCGGCGACGGAGGAGGTGTGTCACCGGTGGCGCCGGAACTGAGTTACGGCGAGAACGGCGGCAATGCGGCGGCGGCGGCGACGCCGTTGACGGTGTCGGGATCGTTTAAGAGTTCGAGGAGGCGAGCTCCGCAGAGGCCGCCGAGTTTGGACGCGGATGAGTTCTTGAATTTGCTGCACGGGTCGGATCCGGTGAAGGTGGAGCTCAATCGGCTGGAGAATGAAGTCAGGGGTGAGGAACAAGAGTTGATCTGGTGGTTTGCGATGTGGATTTTTTGGTTGTTGATTTTTTTTTGGTTTTTTGTGCAGATAAGGATCGAGAATTGGGAGAAGCGCATGCGGAGATCAAGGCATTGAGGTTGTCCGAACGACTTAGAGAGAAGGCAGTTGAAGAGGTTTGTATTTTCTTCTCTCCATATCGATCAATGGCTTATCATTTCAATTTTGTATATCCAATTCCCCCCAGATTGTTTAAATGGTGGGTTTTTACAGAATTGGGTAAGTCCATATATCTTACAAGTTGTCAGATTTGTGTTTTCTCTAAAAATTTCAAGTTTGTGAACAGTGAATTAGCTTATGGGTTTCTCTAATTGGAGCTGTCAGTGTCTATTTTATCTGATATTTTCTCTTATACTTCAATTTTTGATGTCTTGTTCATCATCATTGCATCTGATTCAAGTGTCAGATTTGTTTTGTTGATCATTTTAATCCATATTTACTCTCCCAGCTGATATTAGTGATAATTGGACTTTATTGATAATTGTTTGCCAGATGTGATTTTCAAAGCAATAACATACTTGAACTTATCTATATCTAGGTGGAAAATCAAGCATGCTTATGGTTGTTAATGTAATGTCATAAGGGGCTGGGTTCGCGAGTATGAAGAGGGGTTTTAACATGCAACTTGCAAGGCCATATTTACTGAGGAATGAGTTATGTTTCTTGCAAATAGTATATTTAAATTTAGGTAGGATGGCTTTTTTTTTGTTTTTTTTTTGTTTTGTTTTGTTTTGTTTTATATAAGTAAAAACTTGTAGCATAAATGGGGGTGCCAGGGGGGGGACCCTAGTACATCAAGGATATGCTATGCCTTTTAGGTCAATTCTTATGTGCATTGCCTAAGTTTTTTGGACTAAATGTCTAGGACTCTATGTAAAAGTATGCTTTTCTGTATTTAAAGAAATAAAAAATAGTATTAGCGTAGGATGATAAATGTCCATGAATCTTTTTGGTTGTAGGGATTCTGAAATTAATTATGCTAATGTTGGTGTATATTCCAAATTGAATGATTTGGGCCATTTTGTTAGTTGTTTAAAATTTCCTCTTTTGGTACAATTTCCTGATATGTATATGTATTGACATCTTATTGGTAACTCTTTTGCTTGCCAATGTTTTGAATTACGAGGTTTTGATATTCTACAAGCACCTTTTGAGTAGATATTGCAACGTGGTTGAAAGTCTTTTGTGTGTATATGATTTTTTCTAACACTCATCTTAGTTATTGCCTAAATGTGTGACTGTTTTATTTGATCTGGGTAATTGTTAATTGCAGAGCCTTTTCTTTTCTGTATTTTTGTTATTCTTTGAACTGTATTTTTGGCATTATGTTATGTGATTAGAACAAAACCTGACGTTATTTTCCCTGCTTTTTCACAACATAGCTCACTGAAGAATTGGCAAGGGTGGAGGAGAAGCTCAAGTTAACAGAATCTCTTCTAGAAAGCAAAGTATTGTGTGAAACTCTTCCCAGTTTTAATACATTTTTTCCCTTTAGTCTAACTGCTTTATTTAATGAGACATTTTCTTCTTGCAGAATCTTGAGATAAAGAAAATCAATGATGAGAAAAAGGCTTCTATGGCAGCTCAATTTGCGGCTGAAGCCACTCTTCGGAGGGTTCATGCTGCTCAAAAAGATGATGATATGCCTCCAATTGAAGCCATCCTTGCACCGCTGGAGGCTGAACTCAAGCTTGCTCGACAGGAGGTATTTCGTGTTTTTTATCTTTAATATTTGAGGTGTTCCATCACAGAAACCTAAAATTATTGATAGATATATTTTTCATTGATTGGATGCGAATTTTTTTCCTTTTAGATCGCAAAGCTGCAGGATGACAACAAGGCATTGGATCGCCTCACCAAATCCAAAGAAGCTGCTTTACTTGAAGCTGAGCGTACTGTTCAGGTTGCCTTGGCAAAGGCTTCCATGGTGGATGATCTTCAGAATAAGAACCAAGAGTTGATGAAGCAGATAGAAATTTGTCAGGTATGGTGGTTAGTTACCTGTGCATGGTTTCTTTGTAAGATCATCACAGCTTTGGGCATATAGATTATTGATTAGTGTGTTTTATCAGCATGGATATGTTGTCTAATGCGCTTGTGTATCAGGAAGAAAATAAAATTTTGGATAAAATGCACCGACAAAAGGTTGCTGAGGTTGAGAAACTTACCCAAACTGTACGTGAGCTCGAAGAGGCTGTCCTTGCTGGGGGCGCAGCTGCAAATGCTGTGAGGGATTACCAGCGCAAAGTTCAAGAGATGAATGTAATGTGAAATATATATTAAAAGCTTGGAATTCAATTCAGTACTTGGCGATAAACATTCTTCCAGTGGAGATGGTGTGAATGATGCCTATGTATTTGGTTATGTATTATGCAGGAGGAGAGAAAAACTCTTGACAGGGAGCTGGCACGTGCAAAAGTGACAGCAAACAGGGTGGCGACAGTGGTAGCTAATGAATGGAAAGATGCTAATGACAAAGTGATGCCGGTAAAGCAATGGCTTGAGGAAAGAAGGGTTTTGCAGGTATTTGCTGGTTTCTAATCAATTGTTATTTAGAACATCTAAGTTCAGATTTGTTGTTTCTGCATGTGATAAAACACATAAATTTGGCTTCTCTGGTTTTAATAGTGAATAATTTATAACCAAAATGTACTTGTGCAGGGGGAGATGCAGCAACTCCGGGACAAGCTCACTATAACTGAAAGAGCTGCAAAATCTGAAGCTCAGTTGAAAGTAATAATCTGGTTTACCATGTTGTAGTTGCCACCTGTTTAACATATTTTGTAGCCTGGTTTTAAAATTGACATTTCTCTTGCATGGTCTAGGAAAAGTACCAACTGCGACTCAAAGTACTAGAAGAGAGCTTGAGATCGTCAAGCAGTAGCAGTCGCAGCACCCCGGAGGGAAGAAGTATGAGCAATGGCCCTTCTCGTCGTCAATCTCTGGGTGGAGCTGATAACATATCCAAATTGACCTCCAATGGATTTTTACCTAAGAGATCTCCATCCTTTCAGTTGAGATCTTCTGGCACCAGTTCAGTATTGAAGCATGCAAAAGGGACATCAAAGTCATTTGATGGTGGCACACGGTCATTAGATAGGGGTAAAATTCTTTTAAACGGACCAGGTCCAAATTTTAATCTTAGCCAGTCTTGTGAGGGAAGGAAGGAAACTGAAGCCAATAGTAATACTTGGAAAGAAAATCCAGAAGAGAAAATAAATGACTTCCCTGCTGTGGATACAGAAGATACTGTTCCAGCGGTGGTATATGATTTTCTACAAAAAGAAGTGATTGCTTTGAGGAGAGCTGGTCACGAAAAAGATCAAAGCCTCAAAGACAAGGATGATGCGATTGAGGTTGATTTCATGTCCTATTGAATTTATGATTCTCCTTTGTATAGTTTTGGTTAAAATTGGCTTTTGATTTTTGTTTTTCAGATGTTGGCAAAGAAGGTTGATACTTTAACTAAGGCGATGGAGGTTGAGGCCAAGAAGATGAGAAGGGAAGTAGCTGCCATGGAGAAGGAGGTAGCTGCCATGCGTGTGGACAAAGAGCATGAAAATAGGGTTAAACGGTTTGGGAATTCCAAGGGTCCGGTGAACAGTTCTCAGCTCCTTCCTGGAAGGTGTGTCTTCTTCCCATACCGTGCATACACGGACACTAAGAGTAAAATATAGCACAATTCTTTGCAGTTACATGGTGTCTCTGATTGATCTTTGAGGATAGTAGCTTTCTAATAATTTCATATTGTTCTTCCTGCTTTTGCTTTCATTATTATTTCTTGTAACGCGTTGATTGAAGAAAAAATCTTCTAATATTTTGAATGATGTCGAATGTATATAGTTGTAGGACATTTTTCTAGTATGCATATTTTATTCTCTAAGGTGCATCCCAGCCACGTGTCTAATTTTCAGTTCATTGTCAAATATGTTCTGTCTTCTTTTGATCGAAGGGAAAAAAAGGAAGTTTTATTTATTTATATTTTTTATGATAAGTTTCTCATGTTAAGTTTTTGCCTCTAATGTGTACTGGAAAAAAATAAATATCAATAAATTCCTGAATGAGGCAAGCCTTAGTAACCTAATTTGTGGAAGAGGGTGGGCGGCTGAACTGTCCGTAGATTAGCGAATTTGTGATAAATTTGGGTCAAATCTGCATCATAATGTGGTCAAATCGGCAAATTGGATATGAATTTAAATTGAGCCAATAGTTTCTTTGGATGATTCACCCTTCAAATCTCCTATCAGAAAAAGGGTTGGTAGGATTTGAACACGCGACCAAAAGGATGCTGAGTGTTGTTCATTGGCCACCGGACCACAACGTTTGTTTTAAATATATGACATATTTTATTTATTGAATCATTGTAGTGTATTTACAATAAGAAACATGGTTTTTTTTTAACAAGGAAATCAATGCATATAAAATAAAAACAATTTAAAAAATAAATCTTTATTGCATTATATATATACATGGTGTGATTGCTCTCTTCCTTTCAAAGAATTTGGAACTATTTTAAGGTTCAAGTACTGAATGATGTTTCTGTATGATGGGATATTATTTCTTTTTTCTTTAAGTGAAGGTTGTTCGAGCACTGCTAAAATTTGGGACTGCTTGTTCTATTATTGTTATCTTCTCAAAACTTATTAAATATGACATGTCATTCTTTTGTGCAGAAATATAACACGAGGTGGGTTAACGCGTAGCACCCAATAACGAGAAGCCCCAGTTGCAGCAGTGAGGAGTAATTCTGGATGGGCCTTTAATTGGGTCTTTCTCTCCCCCCCCCTTTTATTCTTGTTTTCACCTGTTTTACAGCTTTTGTGGTTGATTATATAATATTGTAACCAGCACGCCAATGTGGTTCCACATTCACTGAGTTTGGCAAGAAATTGAAAATCAAAATAGGAAGAGAACAGGTGGAAGATGTTGGTATGCTTCTGACTTAGACTTGTTATCATCGTTCTGCTTAGAAATCAGAAAGAAATCAAGGGAGGGTATCGAAGTTGAGCTAACCTTTTGGCAGATTTATATTTTGAGTGGGCAGTAATTTCGTGTGGGTGTATAGGTAGAGCTTATTATTGGTGGTGTCGGCCTCTTGTTCTATGTATTTGTAATCTGCAGCAGCAGCAGCTAGTGTGAGCGTCATTGTCATTGGTTCAGGTTTGTCAATATTCTTGTAATCATCAGATAAAGCTCAGAGTTTCCATGATTATTATGTTCTTTATTCATCTATAGTTTATTCATATCTCTCTACACATGAATTCTTGTGGGTTAGTAGGAAAATATGCATTTTATGACTTATTCACTATCTCATTTTCTGGCTGTGTACTGGTTAAAAATGAAAATTAATTGTTGCTTTGGCTAGTTGGAAGACATGAAATTATCAGTGAGTAGGCTCTTTTATGTAATCAGGTGCATTCGGGGAAGGAAAAAAAATACAGAAAAATTAAATGGATGATAGTAGAAGTTGCATTATGTTATGTGGAGTGCTGAAATCAAAGTGTGTACATTTTGGTTATGTGTTTTCGTCGTGTATTAAATGTGTCATTTTATTGTCTTTAAATGGTTTTGTACTTGTGCTTGCGATTACTATTGATAATGGGTGCAAGGGTGGTTTCATCAAATTATTGAGTTGATTGAGCTATGTTAGAGCATCTTCAATCATTATTGCTATAATGCTATTGTCATTGTTATAATTTGGCAATTTGGCAATGAGTAGTGTTATTTTGTCAAATTATTGCATAGTGTTCTAATAGTCATTTGTTATTTTGGTAAATTTAAACCAATTTTCTCTCCAAATTTGTTGGTGTTGTTTGGATATAGATTTTTTTGTGATTTTATTTTTGTTTATTTTTTCGTCTTTTGTGACTTTTTTTACTTGTTTGTTAAAAAAATTATATATTTATATTATTATCAACTGGATAAATATAAAAAAATTTAAAAAATGAAAAATTGGAAAAAAGAAAAATTTGTTTGATTAATTCACTCCATCAAAAACTATATAACTACATATTTAATAAATTTTTTTAATTACACAAAAAATAAACAATAACCAATTACTTATCAAAAAGAATAATTTAAGAGGTTTGTTGCGAAATCAAATTCAAAGAAGAGAAGAGAAGAGAAGAGAAGAAAAATTAAATCAAAATGTTTGTGTGAAATAAAAGTGACATGGAGTGTTTCAATTTATAGAAATAAAAAATATTACCGTTTGAGAAATAGTTGTTTGAAATAGCTATTGTAAAAAATAATTAATATTTAAAAAAAAAAAAAAAAATCAAACAGAGCCCAACGACTCTCTTATACACTGAGGCATCACTTTGTCTCTAAACATCTAGAATGATCCACTCTCTTCCTCTTCCTCTCATTCTGTCTTCATCTCTTCACCACTCCCCTTTCTCTTTCATGATCGAAACCCCTCTTACTCTCTCACTCTGTTTCCCTCTTCTCAAACCATTCCTCCTTCTCTTCCATGATCGAAACCCCTCTGACTCTCTCATTCGATCTCCTTCTCAGTCTCTCACTCTGTCTCCCTCTCACTCTCTCAGTTTGTCTTCCTCCTCTCTCTGCTTTCACCCAGTCCCTTCTCTTTTTCCATGATCGAAACGTCTTTCTCTTTCTCTCTCTCTCTCTACCTATGAAGCTCCGATCTGTCTCCTTCTTAATCTTCACTTCCGATCAGTATATAATCTATCTGTGGTATGATCTGTCTGTATGCATACTCATATCCGATCTATCTGTAAAAATACTCGTATCCGATGTATACGATCTGTCTGTATACATACTCATATTCACCTCTGATCTGTCTGTGGTACGATCTCCATCTATATACATATTCATATACATATATATATATATATATGTTTTGATATGTCTCTCTCTCATTCTTCATGTGTTGATTTTTTTCTTTATTTGTCTGGTTGTTGATGTGGATCTGAGGTGATCGTGATTTTTGAAACTCAAAGCTGGCGATGGATTCAAACCGGATCTTCATCCAACTCAAATCTGGTATGTTTTTCTTCAAATTTTTTTAATTATTTTTTTTGATCAATTTTTGTTCATCCATCAATTTTTGATATCTGTCTTATTGAATTTTTTTTTGTTCATCAATCAAATCTGGTATCTCCCTATATATATATTCTATATATATATATATGTTTTGATATCTGTCTCCCTCTCAATCTTCATTCTGTAAATTTTTGGACTTTCGATCATTTTATTGTGATACTGGACTATCTGATTTCGTTTGGTTTATTGTGAATGCATACGATTTGGATTGACTGATTTGGTGATAATACATTAAAAAAAATAAATAAATTAAGAAACAGAATTTGAGTTTGTCAATTTCATTCTGAAATTTGTTTGATTCTGAAAATTGGGTTCCCTACTAGATTAATTCTGTTGTTTTCAACTGAATTTGGTGCAAAATTACTTTTAATTTTTAGTGATCTGGCAAGCTTGGCATCTGCTATTTCACTTGCCAAATTTAAAAATACATATGACATCTATTATTTTTAGCAAATGAAATAGCAGATCATTGGAGACAACTTTCTATCATTTTTGTCATTTTTTTACTTTGACAAGTGAAATAGCAGTTTCATTTAAGATGTTGTTAGACCATCTCCAACGGTTCACCAAAGTTGACATCAAATTTAAATTTTAATGAAAAAGTTACTGTTTGGTGCTCCAACGGTTGCACCAAATCCATATCAAATTGAGATTTCACCAAACAATTCATCAAACTGAGGACAACATACAGATTTCACCAAAACACTGTGTGTGACCGTTGGAGGGAGGAACCAGTCAACCAGCCGGTTGCCCGGCCGGTTGATCAATCGGTCGACCGGTGCACCATTTAAGCCATTGGTGCGTTTGAATCCTCAGCTGGTTGGTTTGAATTGCTGCCTTGCGTGACCATTGGAGAGCAACCGGTCAACCGTCAACCGGGTTGAGCAATTCGGCTACAGTGCACAACTAGCAAGAACAGGTTTGAACTGGTTGGTTTCAACTTGTTTGAGCTGGTTTATTTGGACATAGGTTAATTTGTAGATTATGAATAATTTGAAGGGTGATATAAATTTAAATTCTCTATATATTTGACATACATATTTCACAACTAGCTGTTACAATAATGGGTTTATATGAGAACATAATCCATATGCCAGACATATATGTAATGGAGGGAAACAGAAATAGGAAAAAGAATTGGGAACAAAAATGGGGGGAAACAAAAAGAAAAAAAAAAAAAATTGGCGGACCGGTCGACCAACCGGTCGCCGCTTTCCCCAGTTCACAAAGATGGGTTCAAACAGTTCAAAAAGGTAAAAAAAAAAAATTTATACTTACCGGTTGACCCACCGATCAACCAACCAGTTACCTCACAGAATTTGATGTATTGTTAAAACTAGTAATATTAAATTTGGTGAAATGAATTATTTTTTATTTAAATTTGATAAAAAAAAAAATCACCGTTAAAAATGCTCTTAATTGTATTATACAGATACTTTTAGCTATGGTATGCCGCCTGGCCTTTTGGAGAAGAGAATTATTGTTGTGTGTCAGATAGGGATAGAGGTGGTTGCTTTGGTCACGTGGCTGTACTTGCCTTTTTGGTGAGTTGGTTTTTTGAAGTAAGATATGATAGGGAATATAAAAAGGGCAAAAAGCTATAAGGAAAGAAAGAAAAAGAAAAAGAAAAAGAAAAAGGAGATAACAGATTGGTTAGGCAACTGCATGTGCTTGGAGAATTAGAGAATATTAAAAGAAAGAAGAATAAGAAGAAGAAGAGGTGGCAATAGCGAGGATCAGTTTTCTTTCTGTCACGTGAACCCGCCACCGAGCAAGGATTCTCTTTTTAATAAAAGATTTTTAATTCTTTCGATATTCGATTAATTTAATTTTTTATAAATATGATGTACATAAAAAATTTTAAAATGTAAATTGTTTGAATCATCAAAATTGAGTCTAAAAGTAAACCTAATAATCTATCAAATAAGAAATCAATGAGAAAATTTGAGGAGAGGATCTTTGCTCCCATCTACCCCCATCCCCCTTTGGATTGGATCCTTTACATGTAGTGGGCGTGGGCCTTTGATCAACCCACCCCACTCCCAATTTTATTATTTTATTATTTATTTATTATTAACACTCGAATTCTAGTGAATTTTTTTTTTATTAAAAATAAAAAACATATATATACATATATATATTTATTTTGTTTTGTTTTTGTTTTTGTTGGACAGAGAAGGTTGTGGTGGTGGTGGTGGTGGTGGTGGTGAGGTTGGGTGTTTTTGTTCATGCTTGCATGCAATCTCAAGCCCTATCTAGCTGATATTATCACATTAATTAGAAAGATTATGTAAGGTGTGTGTTTATCATATAGTATACAATCATTTCTCTATTATTTCTTTATTTCTTAGGACTATATAATTATTTAGACTATTGCTATTAGTTAGGTAAACTACTAACATGAAATTCCCAGTAGACAACGTAATTTCTCCTTGTCTAGGGTTGGTCCATGCCAATGTGCCCACTAATTCTATTCGCACATTACTGAAAGTGTTAGTATATACTATTGATGTCGTTTAAATATGAATTTTTGAATAAAAGTCAAATATTGGGACATAACACTCTGAACAAAAAAATAATGATTCAGATGTCAACTTTTTTTACAGAATGTATGTATGAACAATTCATTTTTATTCAAAAGTAAGTCTGATTTTTTGACTTTTGTTCAGTTTATATCAAAATAATACAAATGATAAATAAAATCTTATCTACATTGTAGATGCTAATAAGTGTGATTGGATAGCCAAAATTTAAACAGTGACGGTAACTAATCAGTCATATTAAATTTGTAAAATTGGTAAGGACAAATTTTTTCCTCATAAGAAAAATGACATTATAACACACGCCTTGATCGTGTTACTACCAAGCCCATCATCAAAACAATATTGTTAAACTGTATATAGCATCATTGAAAAAGAAGAAAAAAAAAATAAAAAATAAAAAAAATCATTGCACTAAGCCCTTCCTTTCTTAAGACAGAGCTTTCTACTATTTTCATTATGGAATTATGATGGAGTTATGGAGTTAAGAGAAGTTAGAGACGAAGTTAGAAGCACAAAGATGAAGAGAATTTACATTGTTTATTATGTTGGCGTCAAAGCCAATTTATAGACTACATCTTACATATACAAACAAAAAAGTTATCAAGCCTAACCGTATGCTTTTTTTGATTTTCCAAAGGCTAGAAGGAAAA